ACAGAATCGGGGGCTAGGAGGAGAGCGGTTTTCTCAAGTGTCATATGGCTCAGTCGCGGTTTTGCAGCAAACGCGAAGTGGATCATGGACCTCTTGCCGAAGATCAACACAGTCGATATCCGCCGACTCTGTGGGGTGAGACGAGGAGAGAGGAAGACGAGGAGAGAGGGAGACGAGGAGAGAGGAAGACGAGGAGAGAGGGAGACGAGGAGAGAGGAAGATGAGGAGAGAGGGAGACGAGGAGAGAGGGAGACGAGGAGAGAGGAAGATGAGGAGAGAGGGAGACGAGGAGAGAGGAAGACGAGGAGAGAGGGAGACGAGGAGAGAGGAAGACGAGGAGAGAGGGAGACGAGGAGAGAGGAAGACGGAGGAGAGAGGGAGACGAGGAGAGGAGAGGTGGTAGGAAGACGAGCGGTGGAGATGCTGGAGGGCGAGGGCGAGGGCGAGGGTGAGGGTGAGGGTGAGGGCGAGGGCGGGGAGGAGGAGAGGAAAAGGTTGGGGGATGAGGAAAAAATTGATACTCGTGCACAGGATCAGATCAAGATCAAGAAGAAAGGTGCGGACGTGGGCAGCGCAGACCAGAGGGCGGAGGAAGCAGGTTCCTCTCGAGCTCTGTGAAATTGCCAGCTGACGACGAGCTGCAGCTCAGAAGGAGATCAAGAAAGGAGACAAGGTGAGCTGAGAGGCCTCGTACTCGCCCAGCTGACGGTCCAGCTGTAGGACGTTTCGGACGCCAAGTCAAGGTTCCTGGAGAGGAAGCGAATGCGCGAGGAGAAGTTGGCGCAGATGAAGTAGCAGAGAGGTTGACATGCTGCCTTGTCTCTGCGAAGCAACAAAAGATAAAACAGATCGACACGGAGAGAGGAGGAGGAGGAGGAGGAGGAGGAGGAGGAGGAGGAGGAGGAGGAGGAGGAAGAGGGGGAGGGAGTGAAAGTTGAAAACGTTGAATTTATAAGTGGCAAATTACTCCTTTAGAGGAGGAAAAAGAAGAAAGAGAAGCAGAGAAGCTGAGACAAGAAAGGGAAAAGGAAGAGGAGGGGGAGAGTGTGTGATAGGAATGAGTTGAGGACTCGAAAGAAGAGGAGGACAGGGAAGGAAATGGAGTGATAGAGTTACAAGGAGGGAAAGGTGTCGCAGAGCTCGTGGTGGTCAATCGCATGCTCAGGTCCCCAGGCGCCTCGTCGGAGGGTGAGAGTGAAGGAGCGCCGATCTGACGCGCGGAGGAAGGAAAGTTTGACTCGAGAGCCGCGGCTGCCGACGAGCAGCTGAAAGCGACAGTGAGGAGAAGGAGGATGGAGAAAAAAACGTGAGGGGAGATGAAAAAGAATGGAACACAAGGAGAATGAGGATAGTGGAGAAGTGCGGGAGCGTGGCGAGAAGGATCAAGCGCAGGCGCCAAAGTAGCAGGAGCAGGAGCAGGAGCAGGAGCAGGAGCAGGAGCAGGATAAACCTTCTGCAAGTCCAAAAGGCTCAGGTCTCTCGTCGGCTTCTCGTCGATCTCCACTAGTTCGTCTCCTCTCGCAATCGACTCGCATCGCTCGGCCGACATGCCCGGCACAAGGTCGCTCACGATGGGGCGCTGAGGAGAAGTGAGGAGGAGGAGGAGGGGGGGGTGGGGGGGGAAGAAGAAGAAGAAAGGAAATGAGAACGGGAAGATAGAGAGAGGGAGAAGGTGCGAATGAGAGGAAGGAAGAAGGAAAGGGGCAGAAAAGAGAAAGAGGGGAGGAGAGGGAGAGGGGGAGAGGGAGAGAACATGGAGGAGGATAGAGGAGGTTAACGAATAGAGTACCTTTAGCTTCATCTCGAAACGAAGGCCAACCCCGCAAGGGTTGGGAAGTGCAAGAAACTTTTCCATCTGCCCTTTGAAGAAATCGCGTTCCTTTCTCAGCGCGGCGAGCTCTCGCTCATTGTGATTCTTGTTGTTGTGGTTGTTGTTGTTGTTGTTGTTGTTGTTGTTGTTGGAGGAGGAGGAGGAGGAGGAGGAGGAGGAGGAGGAGGAGGAGGAGGAGGAGGAGGAGGAGGAGGAGGGAGTTTTCTGCCCCTCCCTCGATTTCTCTTCCTCATTGTTCTTCACCCTCGTCCTGCTCAACTCAGCGTCACCTCAGCATCAACTCAAATCTTTCGAACGACCTCTTTCCCTCCTCCTCCTCCCGCTGCATTTTCCCCCTGATCCACTCGACGCAGGAGGAAACAGCGGCCAGCTCCTTTCTCAGCTCCTCTCCTGCAAGCTTCTCGTCAGTTACGAACAAATGCGCAACAAGTCACCTTGGCTCCTCTCCTTCTCCAGCTTCCTGCAGATTTCCTCCAAGTTCTCGTGCTGGGTGGGAGGAGGAGGCGAAGGGAAACCTTTCTTGTCCTCGTCTTGAAGCGCAAGAGCCCCTGACAGTTTCTTCTTCTCCTCCTCGAGCTCCGATAACCGTCCGACCAGCCTCCTCGTCTCCTCCTCAAGCTGCACCTTCTCCTTCCTGTGACTCTCCAACGCCGATGAGAGCTTCTCCCTCTCACCCTGCCAGAGTCGCTTCCACTCCTCCTCCTTCGTCTGCAGCTCCTCCTTCAGCTGGTTCTCTACCTTCAGCCGGCTCTCCCTCTCCTTCTCCCCCGCTTTCTTCCATTCGCTCCCTTCGCCTTGCGCCTTTCTCAGCTCGCTCTCGACTGACTTCTTCTCGAGCTGCAGCTCGTCCAGCTCCCTTCTCAGCTGCGTGACCGTCGCCTGGAGCTTCTTCTTCTCCTCCTCACTCGCGTGTCGCTCACAGTTGAGACGAGACTCGTACTGGCCGACCTGCGCCATGAGCTTCTCGCTGTTCTCGTACTGCAGGTCTGCGAGTTGAGACTGGAAGTCAACCGTGAGGTCGTTCATCTTGTTGTTCGCTTCCTCCAGCTTCTCCTCGTACTCCTCAGCCTTCGCCCTGCTCGTCTTATCGAACTCCATCAGCCGTTTTGCCAGCTCTTTTTCCAGCTCGAGGTTCCTCTCGACGAAGGTCTGCTCGACTTCTCTCAGCTTGTTCTGGTAGCTGGACGTCACCTTCATCAGACTCTCTGCATGCTCCTGCGCCTTCTCCATCATCGCGTAGTCAAACTCCGATGACTTAGCCAGCAGCCGCTGCTCGTATTCCTTACGGTTCGCTGCGTCTCTTCGCTCCAGCTCCCGCATCTTCGTCCTGTGTGTCAACTTTTCTTCCTGAAGCCTGGCCTCCGCGTTCCTTCGCACGCTCTCCAGCTCGTCGTGATGAACATCCTGAATCTGCGAGAGCTGATTTGAAAGCTCTTCGATCTTGGCCCTCTCCTCGTTCAGCTGCTGCTCCAGCTCCCTTCTGACCAACAGACTTCGTTCCTCCCATGCCTTCACTTGCTCCTCCAACTCGCGATTCGCTGCCAGGAGAAGGAGGTTCTTCTCAGTCAGGCTTGAGTTCTTCTCGTGCCAGTACCAGAACATGGCGTTTCCTCTCATCAACCTCACGCTCAATCGCTGGTCTCCTTCACGGACTATGTCCAGCAACACGCTGCTTCCCTGCTCCCCCATCAACGCCGCCTGAGTCTGCGCAGCCGTCCAAGTTGCGATGTCTTTGCCGTCGATCTTCTCGATCGCGTCGCCGGCGAGGATCGTTCCTTGCCGCGCCGCAGAGCCTCTTTGCGCCAACTCAGTCACAACAGCCATGGACATGTCCTTTCGCTTTTCGAAGTAGAGGCCCACACCACACTTGCCGAAGCCTTCCATGCTCGAGCTGTCTGACATTCTTTCGTCTTCCTTCCACCCCGTGACGTTCACCTCCTCCTCCGCTCCTCTCACTTGGCCCTCCTTCGACATGTCCGGCAATGAGCTCGAAGAAGTCAGGGCGCCAGCTCGCTTGTGCACGGCTGAAACAGAGGCAGAGAGAGGCCGGTCGTGCTCCCTGCTGTAAGCTCCGTCCTCATCATCTCTCGACTCGGACGAAGCCAAGCGACTATCGGCCATCACGCTCAAGCTCTTGTATTTGCCATGCCTCCTCTGCTGCCCCGGCAGGGATCTCCCTGCGAAGCTACCTTGTGCTGCCATGCCGATGCCACCCTCATCCTTCAAGTCGTGTCTGCCTCTCGCAACCTGCGACGAGCTCGACGTCTTAGCCGCCGCCTCTTCACTCGCAGCGCTGCTTCTTCTGTGCAAGACTCTCTCCTCCCGATGGCAAAACTTCACCTCCGAGCTGAGGTCCACCACCACCGCTTCCTCTCCTGACAAGCTCTCATCGTCTTCTGCCTCCTCCCACATCTATCTTGGATCTTGAAGTTTCACCACAAGAATTGTCGCTGCTGCATTCTTCTCAGTTATGCCTTGCGATCCCAACAAATGCTTCTGTTGAAAGAATTACTCCTTCTAGATAATTTCATGCCCACCTTTCCCTTACACATTCTCTTCTCCTCATCCTTCATCATCATCCGTTCCTCTTGGGTGCTAAAGCATTTCGATACATGCAATTTCTCCCCCTTCGTCCTTATTTCATGAATCCTCCACCCATCACTTCTCCTCCCCTCCTCTTCCCCTGCACCCATCTCTACCCTTACCCTTAATCGATAGCATTCTAATCTACTTCATAAGTCTTTCAGCTCGTGCATGCCCTTTGAATGCTCTCTTCTCATCTCATTGCTCCTCTCCACTAGCTCCTCCATCGCGTACTCACTCTCTCTCTCTTCCTCCTCCCTCCTCATCGTCCTCGCCCCTGTAGCCCTGCTCCTGCTTTCCCCCTCCCCCTCCCTCCTCGCACATGCAGCATGTGACCAATCTGGCACCAGTCATGTGCGCCAGTTGGATACGGAATGGTCATATGGGGGAAGGGGGCTTGGGTTGAGCGGGGATGAGGTGATTGAGGGACGAGAAGACGGAATGCAGCCGGTGCACTGCAGGAGGAGGGAGAGGAAGCCATGTCGTGGCAGCCATAACAGCCATAACAGCCATAACAGCCATGGCAGCCATAGCAGGCAGCCATGGCAGCCATGGCGTACATGCGCACAGGCATGTAATGGAAGGGAGGAAGAGTGAACAAAAGGAGAGAGGGAAGGGGGTCAGAACCTGTTAGTTCCTCTGGTCTTGTTCCTCTGCCTTGCACCCATGACTTCTTCTTGTCCCAGTCCCTTTCTGCTCATTAATGCGAGGAGCCTAGAAATATTTTTACTTTGAGCTTTTCTGCTCCCGTTTCTCCTTTCGCCCCTTGTTGTCTTAGCCTTTGTCGCTGCAAATTTGATGACAAAAAATTCTCCATGCGTTATGGCATTCGTTAGAGTTTGTCGGGAGATAACGAGGTTGTGTGGAACATGTGTTGCCTCTTTCTGCAAGATGTTTAGTTATCTTGAATTTCCCGAGAAAAATAAGATGCAAAGAAATCCTCAAAGATCCTATGATCTTCCTCCTGTGACACATTTGAGAAAGGTTGCTTTGGAGGAATCTGTTGTTTCAAGAAATTGACCTTGGAGCTTGAGGCTGATTGGTTTGACTTCTTTGCGTCCTCGATCTGTTCCAGGGGCTTCCATGAAGCACTGACTGTATGGCGAGCGCTTCTAGTGTTGCGATGTGGCCGCTGGGCCTGACAGTCATTTGGCTGTATCTCTTGAGTCTGAAAGGAGAGTGCTGCTGGAGAACACACCAAAGAACGATGTCAGTCTGGGGCGATGAAGTGATACGTTCCAGCTACGTCCCGACGTTGCCCCATGCTCTTCGGCTGAGGGGAGGAATACGCGGTCTGCTGGAGCCAGAGAGCTTTAGCTCATTCGTCTCGGAAGGAGAATTTGTGGAGGATATAAGCTCGGATCACGTGGAAGATCCGATAGACTTGGAAGAAGACGTATGCTCGTTGTGAGAAATCTTTGCTTGAAACTCATGTTGCCTTAGAATGCTTGGAAGAAAAGAGAGTGGGCAACGAAGGTGATTAGAAGGAATGTGCTGCTGTAACCTTATAGATGCAATACAGCTGTTGCCGGCAACACAATCGAAGTCGAAGTTCGATGGGTTGAATCCGAATATGACGATAGGGGAGTTTCTGTATGAAGAGGTTCAAGTAATCTTGTGAAATGTTTGTTGTCTTATCTTTTTGTTGCCATGCCAGAAAATCAAAAAGAAAATGGCAGAATATGAGGTTCGAAGTATGACATGAATCAAGGCTCATTTGTCTAATTCAAGAGCAGAAGTTGAAGCGCGAGCAAGAAAAAGATAATTTCCTGGAGATGTTCTCACTAGATTCAACATCCGATCAGTTCTGCGAGTGTCTAAAAGGAAGGAACGAAGAAAAGAAAGAGTCTTCAGGTTTCTATGACTCCTGTGAATTGAGGTTGTTATCAATGCTGCTCCACATGAGACTGAAGGAGTCTGACAGAGACGAGAAATTCACCATTCCAACCTCTTGGGAAATGACTGACAGCGATCAACAATTCAGGTACTTGAACTTCCATGTCAGTGCTTCTGCTTCTCATTCATCGACTTGCTACACAGCGATGGATACAGGATGTTTTACAATCTGACTCAGATGGTCAAGTGAGGCTCTCTTGCGAACCTCGTCTACCTCTCTGACTGGTTGGATTGCAGGCAGTACAAGAATGACACAGACGAGGAAGATGCTATGCTCTCGATGCAGAAGACGATTCTTAAGCACTTATGAAACGATGATTTATTTGCTTGTACCTCACTGGTCAACATCGCTACTTACATCGACAGCTAAAAAAAAGTAGAATACACCTCTACAAAGCTAATTGGAGCGAATGATACACTACAGGTAAAGTACATTAAGTGCTCTCAGAAGAGCATACCTTAGTTGCAAACCGGAATTCTCGTCCGAACCGTTCCGACCTGATCTGTGTTTCGACCCTTGCAGTTTTCTTTTGTGGCATCTACAATCGTTTGATTGTTGCAAGCCTGCTCTTTCAACTTCAACTTCTCTTGTCGGTTTTTTTCACGGACAGGCTTGAGTTCGTCCTGCACACCATCAGTCAGCTACTAGTCAGGGCTCGCCGATGCCTCACCATAGTCCTGTAACACCACTCGATCGTGCTGTCCTCACACAGCTTGGCCACTATGAATGAATCTTCCTTGCCGAACATGGTGACACTGCCAGCAGAAGCCTTGCTGATGTGCTTCCAGTTATTGGCTCCACTAGCGCTTGCTCGGAACTTCATGGCTTCCTCCCATAGTTCAATCCAATCATCGTACTGGTCCTGCTTTCAAGTTGAGACGCGCGGACAATCAGAAAACAGCTCACATAGATGTGATCTAGATGATCGAAGTTGTCGGGATCTTGCAGATCCACATGCCCCACATTCCATGGCTTCTCCGTGACATAATGCAGGATGTGCACCTCGTCTTTGTGGTAAGGGCTATTTTTGTGATACTTCCCGAACCACTTGATGCTGCAAAATTGTCATCATTTTAAACTCATCACGAAGAACCTCTCACCAGTTGTATGTATAAGGCAGCACGTGGCCCTCCCATTTCCCCTGTTTGATTGAGTCAGCAAAGAACACGAATTGACATCAGGATGAGGGACCTTGAAGTATTCGTTCATGAAGTCTTGCTCAGCGAAGGTAAGCTGCGTAACATCCATCGAGCGAGACTTCTGCTTCATGTCATTGGCAGTTTCGTGCGAGGGGGTGAAGACGAAGAATCCAGCATTGAAGTATGGCTTGATCTTGGAGGGGCACGAGCTTGAATAGAAACATTTCTCAGGGTCGTGGTAGTGTCCCCTCGCTTTATCTTCGGGGTCCCCTCCGTTGTAACAATCTTGAGCTGCCAGGAATTCTTGGGGATGCTCGAACAAGTGATCGATGTTTCTTCTGACCACCATATCTGCGTCTAGATAAACCATCTTGCGGTACTCGGTAAGCTCCCAAAGATGCAGTTTCATCCAACAGTCTATCCACAGCGGATTGGCGTAGCTGTTTGAAGTCCCTTCAGGAAACGGCAGGAATTTGTCAAACTCTCGCACGATTCCTCCGAACATCTCGATCTCTGCTCTGGCCTCCTTGCTTACGTCTGCTCCCACAACACAGAGAACCGGGTACTTGGCTTTGGTCTTCTTCAAGGAGTGAAGTAAAGCCACCACTCCAGGAAGGTAGGGGTCTCTGGTGAGAAGAGTCACATACGCGTAGCTCTTGTTGGCTACGTTGACCGGCACCGACACATCCACCGAGGTATCAAATGCATTTGGAGAAGCAATCACTTCAGGAGAGCAGGTAGCGTGTGGTGGCATTGGAATGAAGCACAGAGCTTGATGCAGTACAAGACGAGTGTCAGGTCTGATGGAAAGCGAAGCTTTGCAGGGGGGAGAGCGTTGGAGGAAACACAAGGGTTGTGGAGGGCGGGGAGGAGGGATAAATAAGCGTGTGAGGGGGGGGGGAGAAGGCAAAAGAATTTCTGTCGCTTCTTCGAGCAGCTGAGAGGGGTGGGGTGGCATCACGAACAGGGTACACCGACAGAGGGGGTAGGGGTACTATCACACCAACTTGTCCTAGGGGGCCTCATGCCCCCTAGGACCATCTCCTATCAGACTGAGGACCCCCCCCCTACCTCATCAATCTAGAGGCTTTAGAGAACATTCTTCTGGGGACTGCCGGGGCCATCAAGTTGACATGGCGGCGTCACTTCAGCGAGGTAAGTTAAGTCACTGTTTTAATGGGACTCGGGAGGAGCCTCGGAGCGTCCGTCCGAGCCAGGCTCGGAGAGCCGACGGTGACTGCCCGGGACTCCCGTCGACTGAGTCGGAACTCCCGGCCAGCTGATCGGATCGGACTCGACGGTCCGATCGGGACCGTCTACCGGCCAGGGAGTAATCGAATCAACCTCCACCTCACTGGCCAGAATCTATTTAACCCAAGATCCACCAAAGACTAACTCTCAGTACACCTGAGATCCTTACACCAACCTTATTCACCTCAACGATACACAGCTGTGCAGTCTCCAACACCTTCACTGATGATGATAGAACTCTCAGAAGAACCACACAACACCACCAACACTTCCTTTATTCACAGCAGTCACCTTCCCTTCAGTCCCTTGCAACCAAGTACAATGCACAGCGCGCCGTCGACACGTGTCCTCCTAACCCCCTCTTCTCCGCCTGACCCTCAGGCTCGTCGATTCCTTAATTCCAGACCTATGTCGAAACCCACTTCCATCTCGCTGAGCTTCGTCCATCGATGAGACGCAATACCCTGAACTTCTCGCCGTCTCCAAGAACTTATCCGAGTTCTTACACCCTCCCTGACGAAGTTAAGCGAGATTCTCAGCTTCCTTTTCCACTTCATCCTTCATCCTCTGGGAACCCCCTTTTTAAACATCTCCCTGCTCCTCCTCCAAGCTGCACCACCGCGCTCTCCTCCTCCAAGCTGCCTGCTCTTTCCTGGATCCCAATCTCTGCTGATCAAGCTTCCTTCTCCTCCATCAAGCTTCCTTCTCCTCCGTCCGAGCTGCTCCCTGCGTGTTCTTGAATCGCAATCTCCTCTTCCATGCTCCAAGCTCCTCCCTGCACCCAGATCCTCCTGCATCCAGATCCTCCTCCATGCTCCAAGCTGCTTCTTGCTCAGGCTCCTAGATCCTTCTCCATCCATCTTTTACCTACACACTCTCTTTCATAGAAACCTCGTCAGTACCTTCAACACTCCTCCACCACCTGAACTCGACTGTGCCGCACTGCACTTGTTCGTCAGGCTTCCCCTCTGATCAGTCAGGCTCCCCAGACACCTTTCTGATCATCTAGTCATCCATCCCATCATTGTGCTTCAAATCCCATCGATTTCAATTGTCACCCATCTGACTTTCTCAATCCAAATTTTCCACCCAATGATGTCCACCATTCATGACCAATGTGTTTGTCCTAACTATCCTGCTCTACGGGCCCTTCTAACAAATCGCTATCTAACCGCGGTATGAATGATTTGGCGCCATGTCACCTGAGAGCTCTTGAGATTTCATTTGCATGCATTTTCATTTCAATTCTCATATTGACCATATGATCTTCTTTCATTTGCCTTTCCCATCAATCATCTCTTCATTTTGAATTTTTTCAATTTCTCAACGGCCGATTTTTCATCAATTTCAATTCTCATTTCAATTCTTGCGATCATAGGTCTTGTATCTTGCGATCATGATGGAAGGCTTCACATCCTAACCTGCTTGACTTGACCTAGAGTTCCTTGAACAGTCTTCGGGAGAAGAAGCTTGATACCACGCCACGCCAATCATCTGATTCTACTTCTCAATATCAAACCTTCCTGCCAAGGTTCTCCCTCCCTGAATCAGAGATTGGTGTAGGCGATTGCTCGTTGATACCAGCTGTACGATGAACCCCATTGTATTCAAGCTGGGATGAATCCCACTGAAGTTCAAAGTTGCTCCCAAAGCGCTGTCTCCAGGCAGTCTCTACAACTACAGTCAGCACACAGTTGCGACAGAAATCATACTGCTTTGATTCTGTAGAAAATCTTTCCCCCCATGTCCTGCAACTGCGCCTCCCATGGCTGACTTCACTCCACTCAACCAGCATGAACTCCACCCTTCGCGTACTACATGTCAAGATGCTCACAGAATGCCATCGTTCTCATTAGGATGAAAGTCATCACTGCAGCATACCCCTTGAGCGTTGAAATCTTCTCCAAATAGAAACGAACCAATTGCTTTCCACCTCGTAAACGGCAGAATTTTCGTGAACAGGTCCGCAGGCTGAAACTTAGTAGGAACTTTCACAGGAAGTAATTCTCCCTCATCCACCATGAGAACAGCAAACTTAGCACGTAAGTCGATGTGCTTCAGTCTAGAATATGCTCGTTTCTCGGTCAACAAACGAATACACGGCTCATTATCCAGCAGGAGCATCGTCGGACGTTGCTGGCAAAACCCTAACTGTTGAAGTAAGCTTCGATACATCTTGATATGCTTGGCGACTACCGATGTCGCATAGATTTCTGCCTCTGACGATGAAAGTGATATGACTTTCTGCGTTTTCGAACCATATGAAATAACTCCTCCGTTCATTACGATAGCCCATCCGGACTGACTTCGTCGCGTCAAGACATCCGTCCCCCAGTCACTATCACTCGCAGCTACGAGTTCATTGTGAAACACCTCCTGATTAACAGATACACCTCTCTGATGGTAAACAATACAAATATCTCTCGTCGTGTACAGATACCTCGCCAAGTGAACCAATGCATCCCAGTCACGCACTCTGGGTGCCCGTGCAAATCTGCTTAAGAGACTGACCGCGAATGAAATATCAGCTCTTGTCCCATTAGCAACGTACAAGATTGTTCCAAGAAGAGCCTGATATTGTCTCACCGAGAACTTATCCAACAATTCTCCCTCTAGATGATAACTCCGCATGTACACTCCAGGCAAGATAGTAAACACTGAACGAAGAGCTATTCCAAATTTCTCAACCAGCTGTTCAATAAAATGCTTCTGACTCAAGGTAATAGTTCCTTTCGTCAAATCTTGGTGAACACGAATACCCAGGAATGTACCTGTAGCTTCACTTCCAGAAAAGTCGAATACCTTGCTCAAGCAGTCCAAAAAATAATTACAGACTTCTTGATTCTCACATACCAGAAGAAGATCATCCACCCACGTCGTGATGAGAATTCTTGAGCCGTTGTGTTCATATCTGTAAATGATTTCATCATGTCCCACAGGTTCCGCGCCCAGACGCAGGAATTCTCGAGACAGCTTTTCCCACCATCGTCGCGGAGCCGTTCGCGTCCCATATATCGCTTTGGTTACTTTGAGCAAAACATTCGGAGGCAAAGCCATGATGTCAGGCGGTATCATGAACATCGGTTCGTTCAATTCACTGTATAGGAACGCGGCCGCGATATCTCGGAAGGCGATAATCCATCCATTTCCTGCCGCTATGCTGAGTAACAACCGAATGTTATCCATCGACGTCGTCGGCGCAAACAACTCCTCGGACGTGGGTAAAAGATTGCCCATCACAACCAACCTTGCTTTTCTCTTCAGAATGTTGCCATGTAAATCTCTCTTTGAGGAATAAACCCACATCGCCCTCGCAAGAATTTTACCTCGAGTTTCATCAGACCTCGGGACCACTTCCCAAACTCGCCTTTCTTCCATCTTTTGAATCTCAGCTCGTTCAGCTGCCTCCCACAATTCTCTATCCTTGTGCAACAACATCTCCCTTCGATTGCGAGGATCTGCCGTCGAACTCGAGTCTTGTACTGATGGCGGAGCTCGCGACAGAAATGCTGCAGAGAGTTTGACAGCTTCCCATACAGGAACAACTAGCGCCATGTTGGTGACAAGCATACGAGAGTCTGGAAAACATTGTGTCAAGTCACTTGTACCAAGATCAATACAGTCTGGATCACGAGCAACATCAATGTCATCCCCTGGCTCCATGAGTGGGACCACATCATTCCACCGTTCCCGTCTCAAAGGTATCCATCGTGCAGAGTGCTGAGAAGTAGTCGAACGATTACCCTCGTCCAATACGAACAGTACCTCTTTTCCATCGCCGTTGAGCACCTTTCCAGGTACCAGCTGAGATGACAGAGGAGACTTCCTGTGCATAAGAAAGACATCGGGATTTCCTCGAACTGTCTTTTCCACCAGCTGCGAAAGGATGTTATCCCCCTTTTGAGGAAACGCTCGAAAGTAATAATCGTTACACCCTGTCAACTCGAAGACATTCTTCGGCAAAACTCCTGATTGTAGCTCATCCCCAGGCAACAACTCAGATGTCTCTGCCTCCGACATAGCAATCATGGTAACTTCCTTCCCCATAGACAAAATCCGTACGTTCTCACTGTCCGGATGGATTAATATCCAGTACTTGTCGTCAAACGTAACACGCACCAAGAATGTATCGTCTTTGAAGACAACTTGAGTAATCGTCCCCGTTCGAACCTTCCCATCATCCATTACAACTTCAGCCCGCCTGTTGATGAAGCGGTTTTCGGCATCCCGTCTCTGCTTACGAAAGTCTCGTCTGGTACGACATGTTTTGGTCGACGACGCTGCCTCTGTATCCGTATGATCCGCATCCTCTCGGCCACCGTCAACCATCACTGTAGGCACATAATCTTCATCGCTGTCCTGGCACACCATCTCAGCAGCCCTTACCCCCTCATCATCCGACTCCAGTGAATGATCCTCCAACCGTGTTCTCTTTCGACGACCACTAGTCCCAGCATTCACTGCCTCTGACCGTTCATCTTCAACACCCTTGACAGGCGAATCATCCTCCATGTCAATATCGTGCTTTACCACCACTTCAGGATCCTCTTGCCAATTCATCCGTCCCGCACGTCGAAATGGAAAGAAGAATTCATCACAGGTCAGATTATTCGTGTGATAGATTTTGTTGTCGTCAACACACCATACCAAGTAGCCAATGGTATGCCCAGGAAAAGCGTTTGCATTTCCGAGCATAATGCCCTGTTTAGCTGGATCTTCAATCTTCGAACTGCGTACATTATTCTTGAAGAATGTCATACACCCAAAGGTCTTGAGAGATTTGAAGTCGAAAACATCTCCATTATAGATTGTATACGGAGAAAGATTGCCGAAATTCCTGAAACTCGGGAGAGCATTGTACAAGTACGTAGCCTGCATAACAGAAAATTCCCATTTTTCGATAGGCAAAGCACTCTGTTTGAGCAAAGTTCTGTGGATAGTACTGACTGCTCGAATTCCTCTCTCAGCCAGCGAATTGTAAACTTGACTGTAATCAGGAATCCGATCCCACTTCAAACCCGTCTCACGAACGAATGCCTCCAACTCTGAAGAAGAAAACTCACTGCCGTTATCAGATATGATGCGTTGAACTCCGTTTCTCTTGACACTTTTCTCCTCCTGTCGAAGTAACTCCATCAGAATATCACTCGTTTGACTCTTGGACTTCATGGGACGCACAATCAGGTATCCTGAAAAAGCGTCGACAACTATAAGAAAGTAACGATAGCCCGATGGTTCAGAGACTGCCACCATATCTTTCAAGTCTACGTACCACAGAGCATTTACATCTCCAACACGTTCCTGTCGAAATGAGGTTTGTTTGTGAACAGGGCGTGACACAAATTTCGAAATCCTACACACGTGACACGGAGAATGAATCAACCGCCTATTGAACGTGATGTATTTGACCGTATCCGCGAGCAACTTCTGTACTCGACAATCAGGGTGCCCCGTTTTCATGTGCCACAGAACCGCATCAGATAGACTCTGTGTTGACTTCCCATCGAAAGAAGGTCCAGGAGTGACATGTGCTTTAGTCAAACAAACTGTTCCAGCCTCCGCTGAAACACAAAAGATTGGCACATCACCTGCCACAGAATCATGCCTCGGACCTCTGGTTGTCAACAAATACAACTTGTCCCGCTGAATCAGAGGAATCCTGATCTTGCCATCCTCCGAAGCCACATAGGATTTGACCGTGTTCTTCGACCCCCGTCCAACAATGTAATACTTGGATCCCAGAAAATCATCCAGACTCACAAGTGGTACAGGAAGGACAGGACAAACTCGAACATTCTCCAATACTATATTGTCCGACTCACCATCTGCACCGACAATTTGCAAATTTAGCTTGCCATACTTGGTACAATTAATCTTTCCTCCTGCCGTCATGACAAAGAAATCGTCTCCCGATTGTACGTCTGAGAGGAGGGATTCGTCCCCAACCATGGTAACATTTGCACCCGAATCAAGCAAAAAATTGACAACCCTTCCGTCACCGTCTCCCACCATACTCTGCATTGCCATTCCTTGAATATCAGTCATCGACATCGTTGAATCAATGCCAAACTGAAACGCAAAGAAGGATCGCCATTCCGCCTGACGGCGACCTGCCTGAGCATTGCTTTCTGAAACATTTTGCTGTACCGTCCTCTCAAAAGGATTGTCCGACACCGGACTACGGCCACGTCCCCGATGGTTAGGCTCAAACGTCTCCTGCCATGGTCCAACCGGCTGCTCACCGTCTGCACCTGACCTCCTTCCCCCCTGGATTTCCCTGGCCAAGCGCAGTACCGCCTCGCCGAGAGCCTGAGGAGAAAATTCATGCACATTGTTTCGCCGCTCATGATATCCTCCCGAACGATCACCTCTTGAGAAACCATCAGACTCGCCTCTGCGTGGATTGTAGTTATGCGTCGTCCAATGCTCCCCTCTACCTCGTCCGCGCATCCCTCTACCAGCCGGACGATCATACGGCTTCCCCCGCTGCTGATGATGACCTCGAAATCCTGAGCCTCTTCCCCGAAAATTATTCCCTTGAAAACCACCGGCTCTTCCTTGGTGATTTCGAAAATCATTCGATCCAGCACCAGCGGAGCCTCCACGACCGTAGCCGCCACGAGACCCATCAACATGGTAGGCGCCCCTGCGCCGCATTCCCTGACCCGGAGGCTCACCTCGGCCTCGCGTACTCTCCCTCGCGTCCAACGTGCTTCCATCCTCCTGACTGCCAGATGCATTATCCACAGGCGACGACTCATTGCTGCCTCTCGAGTCTCCCTTTTCCTTACCACCCTGTCCTCCACTTTCAGACGCCTTGTCTGCATTCGGTTGACTGACCGTAGCTTGCACCTCCGAGGCTGCCACATTAACTGACGCAGTGCCCGACTGTGTTTTCTCACCCCCAGCAGTAAAAAATACCTGTTCATCATGCAAATTCACAGCCCAAGAGTACACCTCCTCCCAAGTCAATTCGGTTGACAACTTGGACCGCTTATTCAAGCGCGCGACATCTCGAATATCAATACAATCTGAAACATAACATTGCTTGATCAGCTCCTCCACCAAAATCATTTCCAAGGCTTTCACTGATTCCTCTCCCGCTACATCTTCCAACTTGTTAAGCAGGATCTTCATCTGGACCATAACGCTGTGGAAGGTAGATATGTCAGGCAATTTCGACTTTGCCAGCGTCAGAAGCTCCATCCGCGTTTTATCCGGAGTGGCATTGAGATTCCCACTGCGCTTTCTGACTTCCCATATCATATACGCCAGAGCTTTGATCGGAGCCAACTTGGACTTGAATCCTCCTGACATAGCCCATGGAACAGGAAATAATGGCTTCAGATAGGATCGAAAGTATTGGCCAAGCTCCAGGAGAAAATATTCAACGTCTTCATATAACGCGTTAATCATCGCGGCATCCATCTCCTTGCCATCAGAATCCCTTCGGCTTACCCCCTTCTTTTTCTTCTTGCCACTCTGAGAAGCACTCACTGGGTTGCCGGAATCACCGTCATCAACAGGACTACCATACTGATCCGACACCGTCTTGGACAAATTTTGCAACTGCTCCACATAATCTCGAATCTGCCCGCTCTTCCTCCAACAAAATTTGGCATTCAGGAAAAGCAAAACGACCTGCCTTTTCCATTCCTCCGTCAACTCGCCATCCACATTCACACTCTTGTTCTTTTCCCATACAGTATGAAACTCACCACCAAAATTACCGAGTTGATCGAGTGGAAACTCTCGTATCAGCGGGAAAAGACACAAGCCCAATCCTGTCCGATAACGATTCATTGCATTCTGAATCGGAAGCAAAAGTTCATCCAATTCCTCCTGTGACGTCACCGATCCTTTGAGGAATGTGTCCATCTGTAACTCAGGATGAGTCTTGATCAATTCTTCACTGAGGTCCAATTTTCCTCCTCCCATGGTAAAAGCAATGTCGAAAAATCAGTAGCAACGTTCCACACAAGAATCGACTCCGACCTTCCAAACTGAGCTTCCAAGCACAAGCGTAAAAAATGCAAAAAATCGAGTCCAACTTCCAAACAACGATTCCAAACAATCGAATCACCGACTCAAATAGCAACAATGAACCGAACTTACTCTTTGTTCCAGTTCAGACCGTACGGTAAATCACAGTTGCGCAACAACAGTAAAAAAAATGAGAACTGAGAACAAAGAGAAAATTTTCTCTTTGTAATCGAATCAACCTCCACCTCACTGGCCAGAATCTATTTAACCCAAGATCCACCAAAGACTAACTCTCAGTACACCTGAGATCCTTACACCAACCTTATTCACCTCAACGATACACAGCTGTGCAGTCTCCAACACCTTCACTGATGATGATAGAACTCTCAGAAGAACCACACAACACCACCAACACTTCCTTTATTCACAGCAGTCACCTTCCCTTCAGTCCCTTGCAACCAAGTACAATGCACAGCGCGCCGTCGACACGTGTCCTCCTAACCCCCTCTTCTCCGCCTGACCCTCAGGCTCGTCGATTCCTTAATTCCAGACCTATGTCGAAACCCACTTCCATCTCGCTGAGCTTCGTCCATCGATGAGACGCAATACCCTGAACTTCTCGCCGTCTCCAAGAACTTATCCGAGTTCTTACAGGGAGGGCACGCCACTCAGCGGCACCACAGCGGCCAGGCTCAGCAGCACTAGGCGGCGGACCGTCTCCGTGTGCACCGTGGCGCGTCGCCGCTGGACTGTCTCACTGTCACGGTCTGTCTGCACCGGCGCAGCCGGCCGCCGCCCCGTGTCGGAGGCTCGGAGTCCCGGACGCCGCCGGGCGGCGCCGCCGGGGCCCCGGGGGCCCCGGCCGGGGGGGGCGGCCGCACACCCTCCGAGGCTCGCGCGGTGGCATTCAGGGCCGCCGGCCCCGGGCCCGGCAGGGCCCGGGCTGACAGTCGGATCGGACTCGCGGCGGGGCGGGGGCCGCTCACGCGGCCTAGGCATGTCGGATTGCACAGGCCGGGCTGCGGCCCTGCGGCGGCACTGCAGCGCCCAGAACGTCACAGTGACCGTTGAACTTCGCCGGAAGTTTCGGGCCGCACAGTGACCGGCCCGGGGGGGGTGAGTGACCGTAAAGCGGCTGGCCGCGGTCCCGGTACCGTACACTACCGTATCGGATCATCGGATCTGACGCCCCCGGTACTACGGCTAGTGAGGGTACGGACTCCGGGAGCCGCTACCCGGCCGGGCGGGCCCGGTGTGGACCGGCCGCACGACCTGCCGAGGACAGCAGGCGGTAGTAGCTTGAATTAATAGTTTCCTGTTGCCTCCTGCGAGGGCAGAAGGCAAATCCCGACGGTTTGATGGTGATGGCGTGAGGCGTGGGAGAGAGGATGCAAGCAAGAGCCGTGCTGCTGTTCGTCTCCCTGCTAGCATGCAGCCTGCAGGAGAACGTCGCTCGCCATTTCGCTGATTGCCTCACAGAATGCGTGAAGGTAAGGGGAGGGGGACAGACTGACGTGGTGAGAGTTGTGACTGCATGAAAGTCCTTGGGCGACGACGAGCTCGATCATACACGGCTATTTGCATGCTCGTCGAGCTGTAAAGAAGAGAAGAATGAAGGTGGAGCGTTGAATCGTACTGCATGCCATGTCTTTTCATGCTGATTGATTGTTCAGATGTGGTTTCAGATCCGTTTTCTATCAACTTGCCGAACCCTGAAAGGTTTGTGCGTTCTGCAAGAAGGTTTCTCAGTGTCTGACTTGGATGTGACACCAGGAGCTCAAAGAAACAATCAGAGAAGAAACAGAGCAAGAAGAGGTCAAAAGCAGATGCAAACCAGAGATCATCAAAGGAGAAATCAAAGAACGTGAAGGTCGAGAAAACCTCGAAGAATGTCGAAAGGGCCAAAATAAAACGAGAAGGTGATTATCGCTGCCATTGGTATAAGCATTGTTCTCAAAGATTTTCGCAGAAGGTGACAATACGGAGTCTTCCTACAAGGGTGCAAGTACAGCGCACGATCAGCATCTTGAGGAGGCAGGAGGAGTCCGCCTTTTCCTCTCTCCGGGCTCTGGTGATTCTCCCCCGCATGCAGTGAGCCGCTCACGGAGACGCGAAGGTGCAGGCGAAGCGACGGAGAGCAACACATGGGAATGGACCTCCGTCCCTGCCGAGGTTGGGAAGGAGTGATTGTCTCTTTCTCTTGATTCCCTTGGCTTTCTCCAGAAGTGGGCAGCAGGCAACAGTACAATGTCGTTTGCTCCTTCCAGCGTCTCCGCAATTTACGCCAGCCAAGTGCTGCAGGTAGGAGGAAGGAACAGATGGATGGCTTAGAGCTCAGTTATCCCTTTGCAGACATTTCATTATACATTAGATGACGAGGTGCAACGAATCTTGAAATCATGGTGAGGCATTTTGTTGTGCATTCTCGGTCGATACTTCACCAGGATTTCAACTTGAATTGAAATCTGAAATGATATGTTCAGGTACAACCTTCTGGAACCAGGAGGCAAGCTGTATCTTTCAGGTTATAAAGAGTTTTTCGTCGCTGTAACACATGAGAATCGTAATCTTCAAATAGTTCCGGACTTCCCTACTCTTTGTTGGTTGTATCTGGCTCCGTCAATAAGGTGCTCCTTCAGATACTTGATCTAGAGACAATCTCACTGATTTTGAACAGCATGAACGGCCGTTTCCGAATTTTACAAGTGCGGCAAGAGATTTAGTGACTGTTTTCGAAAAATGAGAAGTCTTGGCACGCAGATGATGATGGGGAATCAAGAAAATCGTTTCAAAGTGTCGAGAAGTGGATTTGACATCCAATTCCTGGGATATCACCTCAACGAGGTTTGCCTGTCGAAGAATTTCAAAATCGCCTTACGTTCTCATCTGTTCCAGGCTGGTTTTTCAGAGTTCGAACGCGTTCCTGAGTTCAATCTTTTCAATGACGAGTCTTCAAGGAAGGCAAGTGCCAGCGATGTTGCTCACATCGCTATCCCTGATGCCGGCCATGTTATAAGTCATCTCCTCATGGTTTGAAACTCATGGCAAATCTTTGCATGTGTTGCTCTTCAAGTTGCTGCACAACATTGACTCATTGATTTTTTCGGCCAATGGTCTCACTCTGGTTGACAGATGGGCTCCACATATGTAAATTTGAATGTAATTGCCTACAAGCCCAGCGGTGAAAGTTTCGATCCAACAATCCACTAACGGGCTCGGAGAACTGCCAGTGTAAATGGAAAAGCTCTACAAGCGAGTAAACTTGGAACTTCCCAACTGAGAACGTGAATTTTCCACCCAAATGTCGCGATGAAACCTCTTCCCGATCTCAGTACCACCTTGGCCAGTGGGCCGCCGCATGAGTTCGGACTCCCGTGGCTAGTGGCTGCCCCGGTGAGCAGCAGAACTTCGGAACTTCAAGTAGCAGCTGTAGTAGCCTGGCAGCAGAATCCGAGTTGCAGCAGATCTCAGTGAAGAATCTGAATCAGGGAGGCGGACGGTCACTGACTCAGATTCCGAGCGGCGGCAGGCTGAACAGATTGAAGAGTCTGAATAGCACGGTGTGGTCAGAGCGGGGATGAGGTACGAAAGGCGGGAAGGAGCGCGGGTTCAGTCTCTAGGAAGAGGGGCGAGTGAGCGAGAGGCAGGGAGGACGTGAAGGCAAGAAGGAGGAGGACGTGAAGGCAAGAAGGAGGAGGATGATGACGTAGCAGCAGATGATCTCCATCAGATGAGACGATCTTTCCACAGAATCCGCTCCTCTTCTTCCTTTCGTACGTTTCACTCCGAAAATCCCATGGCGAGGACCGGCGGCAGCAAGGCAAGAAAGCCAGAAGAAAGGGATCAAAAAGTTTCATTCAGCCATCAGTTTTGGGTGCTCGTTGGTATCAATGTGGTGCTGTCATACTGTCGCGAGACCTCGGGCATGGAGCCCTGTAGACTCTTTCCCTCTGGACTGAGAGGGACTGGTGTCCTGACTGCAATCCCCTCGTCGTGCCATGGCATCGCCCCCCTACGTCTAAAGGTGAAGGAGCGTGCGGCAGTTTCTCCACTCATCGACTTGTTGCGTAGAGAAGTTCCTTGCGTCTGAGAGGTGGGGAAGGGAATTCGACAGAGCAGATCAGCCTGGATGTTTCAAACGAGACCTCGCTCGAGCACGCCTTCAACTCCGCGAAAGATTGTGACGCCCTCGAGGAGATGTCAGGAGATTTCTTCAGGATATCATCAGCACTTACACCTGTATCAGGTACAAACAGGTGTTGGAAAGAAATGCCTCACACATTGCAACTTTGCACAATTATGGGAATTTGTTGATGCGGATCAGACATGATTACCAAGGAGCGAGGTGATACATCTGTGCTTGAGAGAGTTTGGACCTGAAGCTAATGAAGGAAAAAATATGAGAAAGTCATTTCTTTGTGTCCTACTCATGTTTCCGCACTTTGCAATTACGGGAATATGTTACACACGCATCTTGGAGAGTACGACCAGGAAAGTCAAGATGTAAAGGAATTCGCCTGTAATCTTTGTGCAGGCCGAGGAGATGTACATGAAAGCTCTTGCTTTGGAGCCTAATCATAGTACAACTCTGTGCAACTACGGATTGTTTCTGCAAGTAAGACGAAGTGTTGTAGTGTCGAAGAGTGAGATGTTTTCAGAATGTTCGAAAAAACATAACGGCGGCAGAGACACATTATAAGAAAGTGAGCGAATCTTTTAAGTTGTGATGAAGATGTCTTATTGGCATGCAGGCATTGGGAGCAGACAGAAATCACTCAACAACGCTTTACAATTATGCAAGATTGCTGCAAGTAAGTGGATGGAAGTATATGCTCAGGGTTGTCTTGTTAATGGTGAAATTAGGAGTGCAAGCGAGACCCTGCGGCGGCGGAAGAACTATACCGGCGAGCGATCCAGAGTGATCCAGAGCACAGGTGGATTCGTTATGTTGCATCATGTCTGTCTTGGCGTGGTGTCTTGCCTGTATTCCCGTTTTACTGAAATCTTTAATTGCAGTCACGTGCTCTGCAGCTACGGTCTCCTACGACTCGTAGTACATCGTGACGTCGACGGAGCGGAAGAACTGTACAAGTAAGAAGAGTTTCTTCCACCCTCTCATTATTCATCGATTTTCCTATCAAGGAGAGCGCTGAAGAGCGATCCCAACCACGTGGCGACTTTGTACAACTATGGAAGTCTTGTAAGAAAGAGATTTTCTCCTGAGGTCACTCTAAACCTTCACAGCTCGAAGGTGTCCGTCAAAACTTTTCTGGTGCAGAAGAGATGTACAAGGTAACCAGCCTCTCTCTTCTTGCCATCTGAGCTCTTGCCAGCGCGTGCTATCGGTTGATCCGAATCACTCGACCACCTTGTCCAACTATGGAGGACTCTTGCACACTGTTATTCGAGATTATGATGCTGCTGAGAGGCTGTACAAGGTGAGATCAATCTCGAATCCTTATCATCGTCATCACACTTATTATTGCAGCGGGCTCTTGAACACGATGCGAACAGCACAGCAACGTTATGCAACTACGGCCTTCTCCAGCAGGTTGTCCGCCTTTGACCTTGTCAAACGATTTTGAAAGGAGAGAGCAGACAGTGCGCGCCAACTTCGCCATCGCGCAGTCTCTCTACCTCCGCTCGCTAGCGGTGCCGTGCCAACTCTTTCTGTATCTTCTCCTCACATCCTGCAGGTGGATCCCGGCCATGTGCCCACCCTATGCAACTATGCCTACTTGTCTGCCACATCGCAGAACTACACCAAGGTTTGACGTGTCGTCGAGCCCCCTTCCGTTGACCGCGAGTAGGCGGAGGAGCTTCTGGTCCGAGCGCTTGACACTGAGCCTACGCACGAATTTGCTCAGGTGATTAAGATACAGACTTGCTCTGTCTGATCCTTCCGCAGCATTTTCTTGCTTGGGTGCGAAATAAAACGTCGACCGGTGCGCAGCCACCGAGAGGTGAATCTCTTGGTGGGCAGAAGTCAACCTGACCGATCACAGCTGCTCCCGTTCAATCGGAGCCCGGCGGCAATGTCAGCAGAGCTGAGAGTGAGAAGCTTGTGTATGTGACAGGCAGATACACTGACGCAAGCCTGCAATCAGATGCGACCTCAAACGTTGAAAACCAACCAATGTGAGAGGATGATTACTCATAATGCTATTCTACAACAGGTCTGACACCATAAAGTGAAAGAATAAATTCAGCGGCTCTAACGATGTCATGAGCTCAGCTTGAAACGAGAACCATAGGCCGCTGTCATCGTCTTGCTATATTCTTGGTGCCATGTCAGCCCGTCTACCTGTTGTAGGAGGATGAGCCGCGTGACGGACAGCAACAACTTGCCTTGCGGATCATGTCGGAGGAGCGGCTCTTGTCTTTGCCGAACCGAACCCTTGAGGGTCTGAAGGTGCTCATGACGCCTGCCAAGGGGATGAGGGCAGGGGAGAAAAGGAGGAGAGGAAGGAAGGAGAGGGAGGGAGGGAGGGAGGAGGGGATGGAAGGGGCTGGTTCACCGGTCGGCACTCTCTTGGGATCTGGTTCGCCATAGAGCTGAAGCCATGAGCGAACATCCTTGACCTGCGAGGGCGTCTCGAGCACCATGCAGTGCTTCTTATGGATCCTGACAAATGAGAGTGAGGAGATGGCATGTCAGTCTCTTCCGACCCGTCCAGATTTTCGTTGGTCATATTTGGCCAAAAGAACTTCTTGTTCACCTGTCAATAACACAAGCGCAGGTCAAACCCTTGCAGACCTTGAGTTCTTCACTTCACCGTGCAAGGATTGGATAGGAAGGAAACGCCTTCCTTGCTTCGATTCACTGTCGCTTCCTTTAGCAAAGTGCTTCAGTATGTCACCAGGTCGCAGCAGCAAGCACCATTCTGTATCGCGGCTTCGCAACTTGGCGGCCCCAAGCTGTCTCGAAGCGGAAGATAGGCTCGACCTACTCGAGCATGGCAACGTCATGCGAGGACGCAAGGCGAAGACTCAAACCTCGGGAGAAACAGCGTTGGCTTTGTCCACTATGCCGATCTCCTGCTGGAGCAGCCTTATGCCTCTCTCTCCTATGCACTTCACCAAGTCCTTCCGCGCCTCTTCACTGAGCTTGATGGGCTTCTCCCCTGGCAACAGCCATGCTCTCTGCGGAAGCTCGTCTGAACATCATCATGAGACAAAGAGGGGGAGAAGCAAGGCTTTGAACCTGAGCTCTGCTTTAGCGTGAAGGCTCCTTGCAGAGGAGGAAACGACCTCTTCGGGTCAGATACTGGCATGATGCCTCGTTTCGGATCCCGCTGAGAGTCTGAGGATTCCCAGAATGTGAATCCTAATGTTAAAGTGTAAATAATCATCATTGATGAGCTCCGGTAACTCAACGATGCTTCAACTTTTGCTATTGCTTGCATTCTTCTTCCATCGATGCATCTCTCTATCTTCTCTAATACTCTACCAGCCTTCCTCTGACCCCATACGTTTCAACCTACTCACCACTTTCTTCTTCCTCTGCCTTGACCCGTGTCTGCCCACTAGTTCTCAAAAGGCTCTGCCCATGGCTCTACCCACGACTCTGCCCATGGCTCTCTGCCCATGGCTCTCGCCATGTTCGCTTGTCTGCTCTAACTGTCGCTCAGTGCATGTTCGTCGCGTCTCCGCTTCTCATCGCTGCATCAACGGATCGCACACCACACAGAACTTTTCAAGTTCTTTTTACGGGTATGAACTTTTCATACCCCTGACAAAAAGTCCTAAAAGTCATGGTGGAGGGAAGGGAGTTGGTGGCAAGGAGGGGAGGCGAGGGAAGCAGAGGGCTGGGGCAGGAGAATGAGGAGCGAATGTCTGAACTAACCAAGGAGGGGAGACGGGGAAGGAGGAGGAGCGGGATTGAAGCATTAGCAGGGGAGGTGGGTTGAAAAGGATCAAGTGAAGCAGAGGATGGAAGAGCAGTGAAAAGCACAAGGAGGGTAGAGGTGTCGTTAGAGAGATGGCACGCAAGTAACGAGGACTGCAGGTGTTATCATGGACAGCAAATGCGAGAGAGTCATCAAGGACTATCAGAAATGCCTGGAGCTTGCGCCAAAGCGCGGATGTATGGAGAAGCAGGCGAAAGTTCTTGAATGCCGCGGGATGATCCATTGCCCGAAGGTAGCTCGTGCGCATTTTTTGTGCATGACAGGAACTGCTGAATCTCCTTGTGTGGTGCAGGAAGCGAAGTGTTGGCTTCAGTGTCATCGTGCCTTCATGAGCGTTGGAAGAGGAGACAAAGGACAACTCAATTGCGATTTAGAGCGAGATACTCTCATCGCGTGTCTGCCGGAATTGAGCTTATCAAATGCAACTGTATCGTAATCATGAGAGTGCAATTCATTTCACCTGGAAGATGCTCGAATTCAAGTGACGATGAAACATATGGGCTGCTCCTGGGTTGAGTTCTTGATATTGCAAACCAGCTGACGATGGGAGAGTCTTCCCGGAACAGAAATATCCTTCTCTTCAACTTTATCATTCCACCAATACAGCGATCTTTCTTTTACGTGAGAAACCAATCCTCCACGAGAGCATCGTTCCATGTGGGGCTCTTGTACAGTCGGATAGATACAGCTGCGTCGCACAGGTCAGTGAAGGAACTCTTGCTCAGCTAGTTCAACACCTGTATCCCATCTAGGACGTGAAGGAAGTCCACGATAGGCTGTAGGTTTCTCGGCGAAGAAGGATCGGACGAATTCTGCTTGTCCCCAGGTGTTCACAGCGTTGGCGATGGTGTCGAGCTTCGAGAGATACTCAGCTTCCGAGTAGGGAAAGCGAGGATTAATCTGCCCGTAGTACGCGTAGTAAATATTGACTGATACCAACTTCCTGTCTGTCACGAGCTGCAGCTTGTCGCACTTGAGAGCCATGTCATGGTATAAACCGTACTTCTTGTTACATAGCAGCGCCAACTCAGCACCAGTGAGAAGAGAGTCTGAGCTCACGTCCGCCTGTTGCACCCGTTGCATCTGTTGCAGTCTTTCCGTCAAAGATTTTCCAAGATCATCGTCTGCCATAGAATAACTGTCCGGGAGCTCTTGCGAGAACAAATCTCCTTCGTATTCTCCGTCCGCCCCCAGCTGTTTCAAAGATATGACAGAAGTTTCTGATTCAAGGATCTGCTCCTGTATCATCGACTCAAGCTCGTCTCCCTTCCGCCAGCGCTTCGAGTCAGCCTCTCCAGGAACAACCTGTAGTCGCCAAGCCTTCGCACCTACACGATAAGAATAAGCAAACGTTTGATTTTGATTGAAATCAACATCACCAGACACTGATGAAGTATCGAAGAACCAGTCAATTGACTGCCCGAACTTTGAACCTACAGGACCAAGAAATCCAAGCATTTTCTCAACCGAGCCGTCTTTGGGGCCCTTGTCTGTATCAGGTTCAGGGTTACCCATGGCCATTGTTCTCAAGCCACATGTTCTACGCAACTTCAAGTCGTTTGGATGACTTGAAGGTCTCGTCACAAAGTTGGAAGCCAAGAATGCAGAGGCGACATTTGACATGATCAAGCCCGTCACGCACAGGCGTGCTAGCTGGGTCGCGAGTCGGCTTGGGAACATGCTGAGGAGGCAAGCAAATATATATAGAGATAGGCTGCGTCTCGCTCAGGATCTCTTCAGTGCGAGTATGAGGATGTCTTCAGTGCGAGTATGAGGATGTCTTCAGTGCGAGTATGAGGATCTCTTCAGAGCGAGTGTCAGGATCTCTTCAGAGCGAGTCCAGTTCTCAGCTCGTCCAAGCTTCTTCGCTGCTCTACTTCCTCTCGGCTAACCTTCTGCTTCACTTTCTTACTTCACAGTTGCAGCATGTCCTTTAGGAGGTTGCTGGAGCAACTACCACCCCCGTTTGTCCACCATGATGTACCCCTACCTCCCTTTGCATATTCTCTTTCAGGCCGGAGATACATGCTGGTCACTACCCCCACCCCCTCTTACAGTTGCACCTAAACCCTACCTTGAAAACTCTTTTTCGAGCTCTGAGGCGAGCTGGTTGTTGGCCGAGCGATGGCGAGCCATGGGCAGAGCATGAATGGAGTGACAAGAATGAAGGCATGCTGTAGTTGACGCGTTGAAATGAGTCTGTCATAGACGATTCCAGCACAAGTTCTCCTACCCTCATGTTGTGAACACTTGTCGGTCATATGCCTCCTCGATCCTTTCAGTTTCCTTCTCAATGGCGACGGGGCGCATCTGTTTTGCTATGGATACTACATTTTTCGTGCGTTATGCTTGCAGCCTGGGACGATCAAGGTCACGTAGCAAGCTCCATGCACCTCAGGCCGCTCCAACTCAAGGCGGCGCTGGTCGGGCACAGCTCAGCATCGAGAGGCTGCCTGAGCCTCAGAGGAGGTTTGCTCGACACCTCGAGGCCAAGTGATGTCGTTATGTCGGAGACAACCGTCGCCACGGAGGGCTCAACCTTTGTAGACGTGTGCAATGACGTGTCCCTTTGTCGCGATGCCCTTCCCCTGGTGAAGGCAAGCGAGCATCTCTCTTCGGAGCCTGGTAACCAAACTGTCCCCCCAAACAGTGAAGTGCGTATCAGGATGGAGCCGACAACGTATAATCTTACTTGCGAAGGAGACTTGCCGATCATTCGGCGGATGCTTCTGTATGGCACCAAGAAGCCAGAGAAGAATGCATCAACACTGATAGGCTCTGCACAAATAGACGAGCAACACATCAGTGGTGGGGGACGATTTAAATTTCTGAATGGGAGCGCTGGCTCAATCCTTCAGGGGGTTTCGTTGCAGTACTCATTGCTTCATTGCGTCATCATCTCAAAATCAGGTTTCTATTATTGTTGACAAGACGTCTTCATCCCCGAACTGAGATCTTAATCAGTTGTATTGTTTCAATCTTGCGAAATACGAACATTCCAACAAAAGGCAGGCGACACACCAGTGAGCTGCTTGTGGCTGCAAGAAGGTAACAGTACACGACATGCTTTATTTCTTGCCATCTACTTTTTTTAATTTCATCTTGTTGTATTTTTTGCTTTTTCATGAACTCATCTTCACTAGGTCAAGGCATGCTATCAAGTTGTACGATTGGAGGATATGATGAGGAAAGACAAAGTGGGACAGGAATCGTAAGAAATTTTGTAATGTTTCAAAGGGGTGACAATTCGTTCAAGACGTTGTTTGGAAGCCAAAGTGAATGCATAGTAGAAGATTGCACTATAGAGTTCTGCTTTGGTTCATGTAAGGTCATTTTTCTCTGTTCTACATCTAGTCACTGTCAAGAAGGCATCGCTGTAATTCTCAATGGCACTGCAAAGATAAAGGTTCGTTGATTGGTTGAATTTCATCTCAGGAATTTACCATGTGCGATGATTTCAGAATAGTGCTATGCTGAATTCCTTTGCCGCATTCACAGCATCGGACTGCATCTTTCATGACTGTAAGCACATACTTCAAGCAGCACGTCTACCAAAGTAACTTTTGCTCTATTTCTCAGCCGACGACATTCGATTGATTCCTGCTACAATACATGCAGAAAATTGTCTGATTCAATGTTTGAACGGTGAATCGATAGACAACCTCGTTTTGCTCTGGATGACCTATGCATGCTTCTGGTTCCACTGAAAGTAAGTTTTGTCAGGAACATGGCAAGACAACGAAATTCCTTCAAATTATCAAGAAGTAAAATTTGCTCATATTGGGCATTTGTTCTGAGATCTCAATGCAGGTCAACGTTACGTTGAAAGATCCTGATATACTTCCCCCACCGTTGATTATGTCGCAATGGTGAGAAACTGCGAATAGAATCGATGCTCTGACTTGCTTTCCTTGCAGGCTGGCAACAAAACCAAGATACAAGTGGGACAAGGAACGAGGAACGTGGCTGTACAAAGGTTGAAATCGTTTGCTTTATCTGCTTTCCCTCAACTTCTTGACAGGAAGGAGCAAGGAGGGCATCCAAGCACGGAAGGCTTTCTTCGACTCGGTCCGACGGTGAGATGCATTGGCAGACCAGGATGACTTCGTGATGTTTGCGGCAGGCCGGAAGAAGTCGACTTGCATCAAGTCAACAAAGAGATCAGGAAGGTGGGTTGATGCTCGAGGTGTTGACAGCAAGTCTCCTGATGTCATTGGTTTCACCTTGCCGTCATCTTCCCTTCCTCTGCAGAAGTTGCCATGGGAAAGCAGCGACAGTGCTTCTGTACAGGAGGAGGAAGAAGAGTCCTCTTCCGAACAGGCGAGTTTAGTGAAGAAAGTGCAACGAAATGCTCACATAAATTCATGCAGATGAAGCTCGATTATCGTGGGTTTGATCAGCGATCGAGGCAAACAGGCAAGTGGAAGAGATTTGTGCGAGCATGTAATGGCAGGCAAGAAACAGTGAGATGGTGTAGGCAAGATGCAACACTCAAGTAGAGCAAGAGAGTGTTGATATGAGGAAGAAAAAAAGTTCACTCGAGTAAGAGAGTGAGATGAGGGAAATCAAGGAAGAAAACAACCAGAGGAAGACGAAACTGCTGCAAATTGCATGAATGAGTGATCAAGGCAGGAAATCAGGTCTATAGGTTGGAAAGGGTGTAGAGAGGGAGGAATGACGCGATTTCGTGACTTGAGCGTCTTGTGATATAATTTTCAAGGCATGGAGACGAAAGACATTACCTATCGCTACAGAGCTGCTCTGGGTCATCCTGGGAATCCTCCGGTTCCAAGGAACAGGTTTCTCACCACAAGCAACTGATGATCTGGCCTGACGTGATGCTGTCAGGCACTTCAAGGGAATCCGCAAAAACCCTGTGCTGAAGCGGAAGGGGAGGAGCATCCATTTGAAGTGAAGCGGGGCTCGAGTTTCACTTCCATGTCGTAGGATCAGGATTGAAAAGAATCGTTGGGTTTGCAGGGCTGTTGACCAGCATCTCCTTGAACCCTTCGATTCCGGGTACCTCGCTGAATTCAATCAAGAGTGAGGGAAGAATATCATACATTAAGCAAGGGATGATAATCATATCTTAACAAGTAGATGAAGATAATCACATCTTGACAAGTAGATAATCATGTCTTAACAAGTATCATACACGCCCCACTCACTAACTTCCACCAACTCCTCCCCTGCCTTCACCAGTCATTTTCTCCTTCCGGTAGTCGTCTCCTCCCCTCATCCTCGAGTTAACAATCTCTTTCTACTTTCCACACCCTCCCGCTTCTTCCTTCTTCTCCTAACTTCTTCTCCTATCATTCACCTTATCGCATAGCCGCCGACCACTCCGGCTTCACCCAGCAGCACGACATTGCTTGCAACAATCGCTTCTGCAATCATTTCGCCTCTTCGTCCGTTCCAACATGCAGCAACTTCCTAATGCGATCTTTGCTGTCTAAATCACAACTCTCTGAGGCGGACCCATTTCCGCATCAATGATCGGATCATCATCGCCGCCGGTGATCACCGACCAAGATGAGAGTCGAGTGGCACTCAGCCGACGGTACTACAGTGACACGTGCTTGTGGCTTCACTAGTATGAATTCCAACTTGCGATCAAACAGAGTATCTAAACTGAACAGTGAAAGTCATGTACTGTAGCTTGCTACTAGGCTGTCCGATCATAGCGGACTTTTATTTCCCACGGATTCCCACAGTCACGGTCCGTCACGGTCCGATCGGTCAAGCTGCCCGGCTCTGTTCAACCATTTTATTTTGAGGGCCTGCCAGCCGTTCGTATTTGTAGGCACCGCTGAAGGTGTCAGCTAAACTCGGTGCTGGCCCGTCGCGGCTGCCCTTGCCGGCCGCTCTTTATCGTCCTTGATAGAAATGGCTCCACTCTCGAGGAGCGCCTGATGGAGGCTGAGCTTGAGCAGGAAAACCTCCTTCCCTCATCGCCTGCTGCGCCATGGCATGCTGTGCGCGAGCCTGTTTGCGATCGGACTTCAGGGCGGTCGGTTCATCATGCGTCATTGATCATCGTCACCTGCTGAAGCAAAGCCTCTGCAGAGCTGGTAGGTCCGCCCTGAGGAGAAGGGCCGGGACGGTGGCTTCCAGGATCCTGCACGAAAGTCAGATCGTTGGACAAGTCAAGCAAGAGAAAACCAAGGAAGCACGGCTCAGCATCTCGGTGGCTGGGTCAAGACCAGGAGGAGCTCCTGCACCTCGTCTTCGCAAAGACCCAAGAGGCCCTGTTGAGTGAAGCATCTGCTGGAAGTCAGGAACCCCACAGCTACTTCATATCAGCACACGTCGTAGTAAGAGCTTGCTCCTCCGTACATTGCCTCCCACCCTCTGCAATACTGTCAGGCCAATCGCTCCGTGTGCCAGCTGCCATCACCCTGCTCTGCTCGTCATTCCTGCCCAGAGATCTCCCTCAACTGCTCCCGCAAGGCGCTCTACAGGTCCCTTTGCAACAAGTCGTCAGATGTCTTCGGTCTCGTCCTCTCTGGGTTTGCGCCCTACCTGGGCACCAGCTGGACGCATCTGCCCAGTCACATCGTCTCGTACCATCCCAGCTGAGTCTGACGCAGCATCGATCCTTGACTGAGCAGCGGCAGCAAGTATCTCTAGAAAGCACATCAGATTTTCTCCTGAATCCACGCCTCCACCACTGCCCCATCCCCCCTCCTTGCCCTCTTCGTCCAATCCTATGGTCAACCTGGTCGAGATTGATTGATCCACGGAGGAAATGCCGGCCTTCCACCCGGCGTGTTTGTCAATGCAGCAGCAGCAGCAGCAGCAGCAGGGTTCGAAAATCCCACCCCTAGATGCATGGAGAGTGAGGAGGTCTTCTTGGTTGCAGCACACAGCACCTGGCTGGCTCCTGCCCGGGCGAGGACCGAATCCAGGGATTCCCAGGCCCTCGAACTCATCATCGGATCCCCATCCTGGAGGTGAGAAATCTGGCTCTCCTGCTTTCCCGATCAGTGGTAGGACAAATCAAGTTTTTCCTACCAGGCATGGCAGCCGCTGAACACTGCTGATCTCCTGCCTCCCTCCTGGTTTCCTATGTTCATGTCAGAGGCAAGTTCACCGCACGAATGCTTCACCTGGGCTCCTGTCACGATGTCTGTTTTGCAGACGGGACAATGTCTGTCGCGCTTCAGCCAATCGTCGACACAATCCTTTAGCGGAAATTCAGATACAGTGACAAGCTGACAAACGCCAGACCTTGTGGAACATGTGCAGACAAGGAAGTCTCCTGCAGGCGTCGCCTTGCTCAAGCTCACAAAGACACACTGGGCAGCGAGCCTAATAGTGAGGAAATCAAGATCCACCCTCCTCATCACCGTGTGCTTACGAGAGTGGGGTCCCTCTGCAAATTTGCTCCTGCCTCGGATGTTGGGCTTGGAGGGTGGTACTCAAAAGTGAAGGAATTCTTTGACAAGCATGAGAGGAATACAACAACACATAAAGAAAACCTGCTCAATTGTGGTCACGGGGACTCCTCTGCTTACATTTCCAATTCTCTCCTGCAAAGCTAACAGGAAAAGTAAGAGATTCATGGAGCATTCTCAGGGAATTACCTGACAATTCTTCATAAGAAGGTTCCTCCGATCCTATTGCTGCTCCAAGCATGCCCTTCGCTACCTTTAGATTTATGTAGCGAACCTGTGGAAAAGCACCTGAACATGCGGCGGCATTCGCCCCAGTCCTGCTCCTCCGTATTCGAGAGATTGTTCTCGCAACGCCTGGCGTCATACTCAGTATACACGAAATTCAAGACAAAAGTTGTCAACCTCTTCACGGAGTGTCATTGGCATATCTGATCGCATATCGAAAGGCTGAAAGCCAGGGCCTGGCAATCGAAAAGAGCATGAGGAATTTCAAGATGTCAAATGTCAAAACATTACACCACCTGATGAGAAATCATCCATGAGCCTCTGGAAATGTCTTGTCAATACGAGAACAGATCGACTGGTAGTACATCACCTGAACGGGCCCCTGAGCATGGGACGGTCGCATCTGCCCGGTGATCTCATCTTGCACCATCGACGATCCAGATGTTGTCTCTTGAGTCTGCCGCGTCTCCGGAGATCCCTGGGTCGCTTCACCTTGTCCGGAGGAGGGTTGGCCTTGCTGGTTCTGACGTCTCCTCAATTCTTCCACCTTTTCCAATTTTCAAATTCGCTTTGTAAATCATGTCTCACTCACCTGTTGTCTATGAATTCTCTCTTCATCATCCGATCTGATTCAAATCAGAAAAAATTCACTTTTGGTCAATCCCAACCTCCTAGCATTCCGAGGATCCCAGTTGCTCGGCATTCCATCGCCATCATCGTCTACATTTCCAAAGGGATTCCGATTTCTCGGCGGACCTGTGCAAGTGAGAATTTGAACATTTACTTTTCAAAATGAAACCTTGTCCTGCTCCCATAAAGGCAGGTGGAAAGTCACCAGCCTGGAATACTGTCAAAACGATACAAAGATAATTCAAGTTCTTCACCATGTTGCCTCCAATGGCAGGAAATCCTGCTGAGGATGGAACTGCAACAAGGCATCAGAGCCAGCAACTTGTTTCTAACAAGATCACTTGGATCAAAGGAGGATGGGCCTGGAAATCCATGGAATCCTCCATGTTGTTCTCCCATTGCCTCGTACAACAGTTCCAGCTAATTTGCAGCATGTAAGGAAATCGTGTTAATGAGGACGAGGAGACCTCACCTGGGAAGGTGTGAGAGCCTGGCGAACGGCATCCGGAACCATCGGTCTGTTCATGCCTGATGGAAGAGTAGAAGTGTGATAAAACGGAAGCGTTCAAGAGCATATTCAACCAGCTGGCCTGGCTGAAGATGATTGACGTTGACCATCCGATGTCGTATTGGTGCGTGGTGCGCTTCTTTGGCTGTCATTGGTTGGAGCACTTGTTGGAGGTACAGTGGACTGAAGCAGCGGTTGAGCTAAACGTGAGTGAAAAAACCACAGACCGTATCAACGTTGCTCAAGTCTGCAGGAGCTTGTGGGGATAGACCTTCGGGGTGTCTGATGACCGTCTGCGTTCAAACACGTCAGCCTCGAATTACGATGGAGGAACATGATTCCTCTGCCGTCGAGCTGGCGTCTACCTCACTTTCAGCAGGTGCAGCAGGTGCTGATTCAATGCGTAAACGTCTACAGAATTCCAAGGGAAAGCTCTGGTTTGGCGTACCTGGTTCACGGCGATTGCCTTGCTGCTGATATCGTTCTCGCATCATCGCCTGATATTCTTTGAACTGCAATTCCTGGGATAACAACCACTTGCTCAACACCGGATGAGCAAACTCAACTCAAGCCAACGTACCTGGTCGCTTGCAGCCCCGCTCGGAGCCGCATCGGGCGTGATCTCACTTGTGTCCGTTGGTGGATCGGAGGTTTGTGAAACAGCTTGAGCTGAAAAATGTTCAATGAATAGGCATGTGTAAAATGGAACGCTAACCTGCCCATCTTTTACGTGCTTCTTCTCTTAACTTTTCGTCCATTGCTTGAAACTGAAGTTGCTCGATGCAATAGTTTGGATCCGAATGAAGTAGTTTGTTGGTTGCAAGTTCTGCACGAGAATTGTTTGATCAATCAAAATATCTTCAAATGATGACACTAGCTAAATTCCTATCGTTCTCTAGCATTTATCGCATTAGAAATCTTTTCAATTTGTTTTAGCTCATCGTTCAGTGCCTATGTGAAAATTGCATTTGGAACCAAGTTTGACTCTCCTTGGTTGCATGTTTTGCAGGTGTGTGTATCCTATTCGAAATTTTGGGGACTTGTAGAGAGGTGGGTTGCGAGTTATGGTTGGTCTTAGCAGATCTTTTGGATGTGAGGGAGATGAGATGCGCATGCATTCGTCTGTGTTCACTTGGCTCAGTCTGGTCTCTTCTTGTTGCTTTGCAGACCTCTGCTTTCTCAAGGATCTGTCAATTCCGGTACTATTATTCTTGGGCGTCGTCCCATGTGGCCAAATTGCTGACCATACCTAATAAAATGACCTGGTAAAATTGAAATTTACTCAAAAATATTATTTCAAAATTCAGAAACGCTCTCATTTTGTTATCCCTGCCGGAAAGTTTAATTGCGAACAGCCTGTCTCAAGACTAGCTTTCTGGCTGGGTGTCGTCGTTATTTCTTTTTGCTCTTTCAAACCTGCCTCAGAGTGTCACGGCATTGCGACTAGAGGGAAAGAACATCACAATGATGCCAGTGGGGACATGGTGGCACAGGGCGGGATTTTTCGCAGTTTTATGCAGGTAAGATATTTTCAGTGCCATGCATGTGAAAATAGATACATGATAGTGATGTTTGTCAGAAACGACCCTGTTCTTGGCATTAATGTTTGGGACAATTGGGATCGTGAATATTTTGGTGCTGTTTTAAGTGACATCTTCTATGACAGCTTTAGCCTATGCGAAGACCTGCTTATTCCAGAGCGGCCATTGGATCGTCAAGAAATTCGTTTGGGAGAGAAGAAGATTTACAGATTGGAGCAATTGAGAAGCTTGTCATCATACGAAGTTAAAATTTCGTATCCAGCTACGGTGAGCCATAGCTTCTTGTTTGGATTTTGTGTTTACTTGATCGATCTTAAAAGTGATTTTCAATCCTGACTTTTCTCCTTCAAGTTTCCGGTGTCGTTCTACATTGAGCTGGTGGACGACGAACGATCACAAGTTCGCACGGGGAGGAGGTTGCTAAACACAGAAAAGCTTGAGTTTTCAACACCAGAAAATGTCGAAGAATTTTCTCAGCATTCAAGGATTGCAATTGAGGTTGACTGGCACGGGATCACGTGGAAGCAGAATGTAACGCTAGGCCAAATCGTTTACAATATCCATCTTGGAAGAGTTTTCAATGGGGTCCCAATTGAGAGCTTTCCTCACATTGCAGCTGTTCTTGCATTGGTTTGTTTCTTTGTGTTGGCTACCCTTCGTAATGAGCTAACATGGCCGTTTTCTTTCTTGATATCGAATGCCCGAGATGAAAATTTCAAAAGGCAAGATTGATGGCAGTCCCGAGAGTTTCGCAAACTTGAATTATCAGTTCATTGTTCGTTTGCCCCTCTGTTGATCCTCTCTTATCTTGGAACCAAGTTTTCAATATCCACTATTTCTTCCGAGCTTTCTTCATGAATTTTGCAGTTGAGTTTTGAAGGGCATTTTTCTACAAGAATGTCAGATTCCGCTAAATCAGCAATTGAAAAAGATGCAACTTACGGCAATCGCCCTGAGCCGGACAATTTGCTTCAATGTAGTCTACTACAGCAATAGGAGTTGCTGCTTCCTTCAACAAATTACAAGGAAGAGGAAAATTCCCGAGTAACTGAAAGAGTATCATTTTTTGGTCATAACTTCTGATAAACAGGATATTCAGGACCTGCGAAATCTCTTTGATGAAAGAGCTAACAATGCTTTCGGACGGGATATCCCGGCGTGTTTCAAAGTATCTGTGGAGATCTTCATCCCTCGATGGAGGATGCGAGATTGCACAGACCTAAGCAAATTGAGGTATCAGCTGACATTCTCACGGCAGATTGAATCACTTTTTGAGACACATGCAAGACCATGCGTAGAAGCCTCTCCTTGTGTTTTGAGTTGCATGTTTCAGATGTTTCGCAATGGTCAATGGCGGCAAATAGTTGCTGCAATTCAAATAGAAATCAAACAAGCAAGATCGTCATTGATAATGAATGGACCGGACCTTCTTCGCTTCTTCGCTTATGGTCTCAGGCAAAGCAGACGTTATTACTTCCTTTAGCCTCCCCTTCCTTGAGAGTTCCACCACGTCCTCGCGTCCTCCCAGCAACTTTCCTGCCACGAAAAGCATTGGTAGAGATGGACAATCAAATTCCTGAGACCAGAAAAGGTTCGTAAACAAGGTGGAAAAAACTTGGAGACAAAAGAAAATAAACGAACAAAACAACACCTTCTTGAATGCATTGATTAAGCTGATTAAAGCATGTCAATCATGAAAATGAATAACATGAACACACCTTTCGTTGTTCCTTACATTCAGAAATTCGCACGCAATGCTCAGAGACTACGAATTCAACAATTCAAATTGATTGATCGAAGAGAGTTCCATTCACCTTGAGGGCCTTCATGATTTCAGTGCTAAAAGCATTGTCCGAGGTCTCTTTTTGGTCGTTCAAAACCAATACAATCAGCTCCTTCTCAACAAAGCTCCGTGCAAAAGTCCTCTGAATGTGATCATCGTCCCTCGATTCCCTGAAGATTCTTCATCCAAAACAGTCTGGTTTTAAGTTTTCTTACAGTGATAGCTGCTGAATACTGTTGGACCTTATTCCTAACAAATCAACGTCATTGATGCTCACAAGTAGATTACCATTCTGACCAGACTGTGCTTTAGATTGAGCCTCAGAGATTAATCCATCTACAAATTGCGCTTGAGCTACATACCCGCAGCTAGTTGCTATATTCTTGCTCTACATCATATTTCAGCTTCATCAGCACGTTGTTTGAATCAAATGTCACAGAGTGAAATATGGAGATCGCGTCGTCAAATCTTTGCAGGGACATAAGAGCAAATCCTTTGCCCAGTAGTATCTCTCCTTCCCTCTGGCTGTTAGTATACCAGAGGTCATATTTCAACCTTTTCTTGACAAAGCTCACATGTCACGCTGTTCCCTGGTGATTTGCAAAGCCTTGTTGTAACAGTCAATTGCAAAGTTCGTTTCTCCATTCTGCCAACTAATGATAATCAGTTGTCAAATTAATCTTAGGAAATGCAAATACGCGGTCTCTGCTTGGTTCAGTATGGACTGAAGATCTTCTGGATGACTTTATAGAACAGAGTAAGCTTCTTTAATATGAACATTCTCATCTTTCTTACCTATCATCTGACATTCTCGTCAAAAATCCTTCAGACCTTACGTTATGGCCAAAACATTTCCGCCCCCTTCACTGGATTTTATGGCCGCCTATAAACCTCTAAACCCTAAACCTTCGGACGCATACCCAAGTTTAGGGTTTAGGGTTTAGAGGAAGGTGAAATGAGATGGACAAGGGCCAAGCAAGAAGGAAAGATCGCAGCGGCCGGCCGGGCTCTCGGGCCCCAATCCGGACCGAGGTCCGGACTCCGGAAGGAGTCGAGAGGAACGCGAGTCCCAGGGGGCTTCGGCCTGGTGTTTAGTGTTTAGGGTTTAGGGTTTAGTAATGAGGGTTTATGGTTTAAGGTTTGTGGTTTAGAGCTAAGGGTTTAGGGTTTAGGGTTTAGGGTTTAGGGTTTAGGGTTTAGGGTTTAGGGTTAGGGTTAGGTTAGATC